AGTAAGCTCAACAATTATGAAACAAGAGATTCCTCGAAACCCAACTTTTCTTTTTATATGATAATTTAGCCTTGGCTATAATCAACTTGATCTTATTTATCTGATTCAAATGACTCTGCTCATCTTCTTATAGTTTTTATCACCATAGCTTCTATACAATAATCATAGAGGTCCAGTCTTAGCGTTCTACTCAAAGGTATCTTGCAAGCTACACGTTGTTTTACTTGAAAGAAGCTAAGAATGTACCAAGTCAACTGTCTGATGCTGGGAATTATGATAACTACTATGGCAGAGGACTTCGGACCAAGTGCTTTCTAATAAGTCGCCCTGACAACAAGAATAAGTTGCGACAACGAGGTCAACCAACTACTAAAAATAACTAGCCTAGTAGATTGCTATAACAATACAACTTAGCTTTATCGCCATTCTTACAACAGGATGTGATCTTGGCCTGGCTTTCTAGGAAATTGACATCTGCCTTGTGGCCCAAGAGCACTCATGGCAATGTGGCGATATGATTAGCGTATTAAGAATATGCGCTGTTGTGTTATGCTTCGAGTCCCGTTGGAGGTGTTAATAATACATAAGCATTCCACTTCAGCTTAGATGAGAATACCCTTGGAAAAAGCTTCAATAGAAATGTAAGGTATACGTATCACTGTGGGAGAATTCAACTACCATTCCCCTTATCGCCCTAAACGAAATAGGATGAATACACTTAATATGTATAAGATAATGGTAGTCTCGTAAGCCTAGTTATATACGAAAAATGGGCACGAATGTCGTAGAATGTAGGCCATTTCTGAAGTGTGCCCCTCATGTAAAGTGACCAAGAGACCTCCCATTACCGGGAGCCAAGTCTCAGGCATGGCATGAGTGGACGGTCTACCTAATCAGCTGGGCCAGCCAAGTACAGAAGAGGTCCGCGAAAGTATACTCCAAAGGAATAATGCTGGGGATGGAGGCATGTGATTGCGCATATTTATGCCGGTTTGCGTTTGCCTTAAAAAGCTGTAAAGATTCATTTATCTACTGGAGCTGCATGCCTTGGAAGAGTGAATGCATACCATATGACAGGTGACAGTGAACTTTGACCTTTTCCCTGTACCAAAGGAAGTGGGACGACTTTACATGCACACATCCACGTGCGTCTAAATGAAAATACACGATTTGACGCATCATTTAGTCAGCCTGACAGTCGTAATTAGGTTTTTGGCGTGGCTTTCAAATGCTCAGGCGTTCAGGGCTCTCTCGTCTGTTCGTGTAACCACCATCGAGACGGGCAGGTCGTAACGGCGGGCAAGAGGTATTGGGTGAGGGTCATCTTCGCCACGGCCTCTACTCACGAGACGTTCAGACAGACCAGACCAGCCAAACTGCCCAACCGTCCAGATGAGTAGGCCAGTCAAGTGGAGGGGAGACAGTCGACGACTCGCCGGTCTGCAGCCACAGACGCACATACGTACAGACAGAATGACCCGTGGGTACCTGCTTTCCGGCATCCTCCCTAAAGCCCGAATGCTCCTCTTCGTCGGCAGAAGCCGAGCCCCATTAGGAGACCGGACAAATGGCCCCTCTTGGGTACCCTTTCGCGTCTCCCACACCCTCTGGCCCGAGGCTGTAGAGACTGCCTCCCAGACCTTAAGTATACCAGGCCCAGCTCATTAGGCCATTCTGTCTCCGGGCCGGGCTGGACGCATGAATGGTCGAAAGACACAGTCCAACCATGCCTGGTTGTGAGTCGAGGTTTTTTCTTCTTTTTTATCC